ACGGGAGTTTTACGACTGCTGACTGGACTAACGGATGATTGTAACGTGGACGCGGTTCATCTACTTGGCAGGACAGGTGTAAATTGTATTTTATTTCATTATTAAAAAAAGAAGGTAAAACCCGAAAACTAACTTTACCAATTAATCGACTAACTTTACCATTTCACGCACTTTACCCTTCCTCTTCTCTCATTCTTCTCTCGTCAAACAGCTCCCCCATCTCTCCCGATCGACGAATCGATCGAAGACCACACCCCAACCCACTTCTCCGTCGCTCCAGTGAACGACGTCTCCCCCTATCGCTCCTCCATCTCTGGTGAAGACAAAGGAAACCATGCATCATCCGGCTGGCAAATAGACGGTTGCGAAACCTAATCCTTCATCGCTGCCATCCTTCGTCGCTATCGTCCTTCGTCGCACCCGTCGCTTGAATCGTCCAACCCAGAATCGCGACGCGAGGTCGGCGAACCCTAATTTTGGATTCGCGTTTCAAGTCTTTCGTCTAATTGGATTGTGGTTGCTAGTGAGAGAACACAAGAGAGTGGGGTTATAGTGTGAGAATGTTATTGCTGGAATGAGGTGAGTTTGTATGTAAAATGATATTCGATGGGGTAGAGCATTTCAAAGATGGCGTTGTAAGACATTCTGTAGCACATGGTGCATGTTTGAGATGGACTCGGAGCAACCCTACGAAGAGAGATGTGAAGTGTAAAGATGAGAACTGTCCATGGAGGTTGTATGCAAGCTGGTTCAGGAAGGATAAGTGCTTCATGATAAGGAAAGTGGGGCTGCCACACTCATGTGCAAGCCGTCTCTCAGTTAACCAAGTCACATCAAAGTGGATAGCCTCAGATATGTTAGAGAGATTCAGAATTAACCCAGAGTGGGCTCCGGAACAAATTATTGCTGAGGTGAAGTGAAAGCACAACATGGAGGTGAAGAAGAGAACTTGCTACAAAGCTAAAGTAGAGGCTATCAAGATATTAAGTGGGTCATTGAGTGATGAGTATAACTTGATTAGTAGATATGCTGAAGAAGAGGGATAGGGATTGTCATTTCCTGCTGGAAGTTCACCCGCACCCAGATGAGGATAAGTGCTTATTCAAGCGCTTATATGTTGGTTTTCCTGTTTGAAGGATGGATTCCTTTTGGGCTGTCGTCCTATGTTTGGTCTGGATGGTTGTTTTCTTAAAGGGGAGGTAAAAGGTATGCTTCTCACAGCAGTGGGTAAAGATGGAAACAACCAGATGTTCCCAATTGCCTAGGCGGTTGTGGAAGGGGAAAATACCATCTCTTGGACATGGTTCGTGGATATTCTAACTAAAGAACTTGGTTTAATTGATGGTAGAGGATAGACTGTTATATCGGACCAGCAGAAGATATAGTAATCTTTCATGTGTTTTTACTTTGAATGTTTCTCATGGTTTGTATACTAATCCAATTTCACTCCACTAGGGTCTGGTTGAAGCGCTCCACTCAATACTACCTGAAGCGGAGCATCGAAAATGTTCTAGGCATGTGTATGCCAACTGGAAATCCAAGAACAAGACTGACATGATTCAAAAATTGTTCTGGAAGGCAGTGTATGCATGCAACGAATCTGATTGGAAGAAGGCTACGCAAGAGATGGAGACCATACAAGGTAATGGCGATGGACCAACGCCATTTACAGACTTTATGGTTGCTGATCAGACCAGATTTTGTCGTGCTTTCTTGTCTACAATTCCTAAATGTGATAGTGTCGAGAGTAATATATGTGAGACCTGGAATGGCAGCATTGTGAAGTATAGAGGATTTCGCATTATAGACATGCTTGAAGGGATTAGGGGGTATATGATGGAAAGAGTGGTGATCAAGTATAATATGCTGCATGGGAGTACTGATGAGCTGTGTACGAGAATTAGGAAACATTTAGAGAAGGAGAAGGAGTTTGCTAGGTTGTGTGTATCTGGGCAATCTCACAATATGAGATTTGAAGTTAAAATGGGAGCTGAAGGCTACATTGTACACCTGACTTTGAATGAGTGAAGCTGGGGTTATTGGCAGTTGAGTGGGTTGCCATGCTGTCATGCAGTTTATACTACCAGCCACATGAGGAAGAATCCGGATGATTATGTTCATCCTTCTTACCTAGTTCGGAATGTGGAGGTCTGCTACAAGGTGGGGTTGCCTTGTCTTGATGGTAGACAAGCATGGCCTGAAGCCAGTGGGTATGAAGTATACCCTCCTAAAGACAGACCAATGCCAGGCCGCCCCAAAAAGAATAGAAGAAAGGCAGCTGTGGAGATGGAAACAAGACCACAAAAAAAGGGTTGGTGAAGAGGTAACTCGGAGGGGTAGCCTGATTCATTGCTCCAAATGTGGAGCTGAAGGGCACAATGCAAGGGCATGCCCAGCACCTGCTGCTGCCGTTGCTGCTCGAAATGTGGTAAACTCTCTTATTTATATCACATTGTCCCTTTATATCACATTGTCCCGTATATCACATTGTCCCTTAATCGATGGCTGTATGCTTGAAGGGAATGACTACACGTGCCACAAGGAACCAAGCTGCTGCCACAAGGAATGGAGCTGCTGCTACTCCACATAATGAGAGTCAACCAAGGCAGAGGAGAGGCGACCACTGCTCCAAGTGTGGCTCTGGCACACACAATGCCAGAACATGTCCGTTGAACAGGGGAGTGGGAATACAAGTAGGTAATTAGTGTAAGTTGTAGATGAATATTAGGTTAACTAGTGTAGATACTTGTTAGGTTAACTGTTTTGTTTGTAATCTAGGATGTGAGGTTGAATGTTGGCGATCGTATTACGATTGAAAGGGAGCTTCGTCAAGCAACAAGAGGAATTGGTGTTTATGTTGATGAGACCACTGGTAATCAATATGTTAGGGTGGGTAATTGTTTTCTTTCTTAGTTACACCATTTTTTCATGTGTCATCACCAATATGACATTTAACAAAGTTGTTGAATGCAGCTGAATGGGGAAAATGAGAGGTATGTTGGGAATCCACCTCCAACCCAACCTACTGAGACGGATCTGCCAGGGAGCCAGCCGCCACCAACCCAACCTTAGAATTTTCGTTAACTTCTCATGATTCGTGTTTTTGTACAGGGCATCCAACCCTTGCTTAGAAGCATCTTAGGGTGATGTTCAAGACAATTTATGTTAAGGTTTAGGTTTGTTTGCAAGGTATAGCTGAAGGAAACTCTCTATCTTAGGGTGATGTTCAAGACTAATGTCATAATGTAATTAAGCACTAAGATGCTTGTTAATGTGTGCTCCAGAGTATTGTAGAAACCCAATATTTTGCAACGATTATGTTAGGTTCAATCGTTCCATACTATCTTTTGCAAAGAAAATAGGTTGTTTACCCCATTTCATACCAACTTTAAATTTCAACTTGCACATTACATACGATCGATTCAAACTTACTGTTTCCACAGAAATATAATCAGTAAGACATTCAGAACCAAGAAGAAACTAAGCATATATCGAATCACTCACAATTCATGATACAAATTCTGAGATCCAGTTATTCGATCTTTCTCAATTTTCATCCAATTGCGTAACTCCTCCTCCAGCAGTTTGTTATCCTTCTTCATTCTCACTGCCTTTGATTCGGCCAGCCTTAAGCTTTCTTCCAACTTCATCATCATACCGTCAACATCATTGTTTCGTGCCTCTGATATATCAGAACTTGACTCCACCCAACGAAAAAAATAGCACCCACCTTTCGGATTCTGCAACATTGACGTTCCTAAGACACAATACATCATAAAATAGTTCATAGAAACTACGATTTGCTTACCATCCAATTAGGGCAACCATAAAATTGTCTGCCTGGGTTCAACTCAGTCCTAGAAGTTTGTACCAAAGCAGAGACTTTGCACTTGCAAATGACAGCACCAACATCTTCACTTTTGATGTTCGTTGACCCAGAATCGGCAAAATCCCTGCTGACGTTTCTTCGCCCAACCCTGCGTGACATGGATAAATCGGCGACTGGAACCAGAGGAAGAAGTGAGGGCGATGGGAAGGAGATAAGGAGAAGGAGAAGGCGATGGGGAGGAGAGAGGAGAAGGCGATGGGGAATATAGAGGGAGAAGGCGACGACGATGGATAAGAGAGAGAGAGAGAGAGGCGGCGGGGATGGGGTTTTCCTCCGCAAACCTAGAATGGAAGGTGGATTGATAATGGTGACAATGGAGGAGTGGGATTGATAATAGGTAAAAATAAAGAAGGTAAAAATAAAAGGTAAAAATGACGTGGCAAAATGTTGTCGATTTGGCGACGATGTGGCAACCGCATGGCATCCACCTCAGCGCCACGGAGGGCTTACTGACGGCGTCTGTCTTTCCGTTTATGTTTGAAACGGAAATGGCTAAATTTGGCAGACAAGTTTTCAAAAGTGGCTATACTAGTGTATTTTTAAAAAACTGGCTATATTTGTCACAACGCGAATAATTATGACTATGAAAGTGTATTTTGTCTTTTATTTATTGTGTATATAATGCATACTTTATATTTTTCTATACCTGTTTTCCCTTTTGTGATACTTGATTGTTTATTCAATAAGAAACCTGAAAAAATAAGTAACCTATAGAAAACAACATATCACAAATGTCAACAGATTTGGACAAATAATCCGCAGGTTTCCGACTAAGCCTGATTTTCTCTGGTCGTAAATCTCCATGTACTACTATACACTACTATCCTTACGCGCGGGAAAAAAACTCTCAATTTACTAATTTAGTAAATCAGGTGTGGGGGAAATCTAGTAATTAATCATTTAATTAATTCCCCTCAGATTATCTTAATGTTAGCAATTCAATCAAAGCCGTCGATTCTCTGAGCTTTAGCTTCTCGGAGTTCACATTGCATTGACATGACCGAGATGATATATATATATAATAATAATAATAATAATAATAATAATAACCCGATGACTCTATTTTTTCTACAGTTATTTTCGATTAAAGTTTTTCGTTACCTTCTCCAACCGAACCGATACAGAGAGTAGAGACGAGAGAATTTCCCCGGAAAAAGAAACTTCTTAATTTTCTGTTTGGCTCCTGAGTCTTGCGATTCATTCTCTTCCCTTCCCCCTCTCTTCTTCTCCCCTTTTTATTTTTCTCTCACTTTCTCTTGAGTAACTCTCTCGCGCGGCTGCTCGCCATTCCAATCCCGTGATCAAATTCAAAGTTTTGATCCTTTAATTACTTCGGTTCACATTTCTGGGTTCGGCTCCCAGCAACGGAGGAGCTGCTCTCTCGTCTCGGTTCGTGATTTCCGCTGAAAAAATGGAATCTCTGTGGTTTGGTGGGGCAATTTGGGCAATGCCATTGCTTTGTTAGGGATTTCGCTCTCGAGAGAATTGAACTGGTTCGAATCGAGAGCCCCTTTTTTACCCCCAAAAGAAAGAAAAAAACTCAATTTTTTTCTTTCGATGAAGCGGCGATGAGGAGAAGAAGAGAGGAATGGAGATTAGATCTGAGAGCGTCGGGTTGAGGTCGGAGAAGCTTGGTGGGTCGAGTCCAGTGATCCCTAGGAAAAGGTTGCAGGTGTGGTTCATAAGAGTTTGCTCCAGTATTCTCGTATGGACTTGCTTGGTTCAGTTAGTGGCAGTTGGGGAGCTCTGGCACCCACGTTTCATCACTAATTTAACTACTAGATTCTCTCAGATCGCCGGGCCTCTTCACGTTCAAGTCGCCGTTCAGCCACCGCCTCCTCTTCCTCCACCCAGTGAGTCTGCTTCCCTCCTTTCCTTTTCCGCTAATTCTTTCCTTCGTTTGTAATTGTTGGAATGGTGTGGGAATTCTGGTGATTTTATTTGGGTAGATGACGTGCTGCTGCAAGTTTGAATATTTATTATTCATGGCTTCAGATATTTAAAAGAAAATTTTGGTCGCAGTTGGAGTTGACTGAGACTATATAAACTAGTGTAGGTTGGAATCTTGCTTGTGGTCTCTCATCCAATGCAATTCTTTCTTTCTTTCTTTCTGTCTCTCTTCCTTGTACTAAAGTCCTCTCTCGGAGTGTAGCATTTACTTCTCAGTGTCCATTGGCTGGGGTTCTCAGTTGCTTACATTTGGATTCCTTTAATTCAAAGCTGCCTTTCAAACTGTCTTCTAAATCACTGCTCTTACGTGCTGCTTTTGCTAGTTCCTGTTATGTGGCTTCTGGTTGAAGGATTCGAGAGTTGGTGGTGCTATTACTTTCTGATTAGTAGCTTTACTTGTGAATGAATGGCCAGGAATATAAATTGATTACTGGGAGGATGAATAAATGGATATATCACGTTAATAATGCTGCATCAATCACTTGGGAGTGTCGAATTCTCAGCGTATCAATCACATAGTCCTGTTTTTCAATTACCCCATGCAAATCTGTTTATACTTTTCGCAGATTGTGTTCAACATCCAGTGAAGATAATATTGATGTTAAGTCACTTACAAAATGTTGCAGGAAATTATACCAGTAATGGTTTCCTTAAGGTGTCCTGCAATGGGGGTTTGAATCAAATGCGCTCAGCGGTCTGTAATCTTACCTCTTCTGTCCTTTACATGCTCCATATCTCTCCAGATTATTAACCCTAGAAGGATGCCATTTTTCTAGATTTGTGACATGGTGGCTGTTGCTCGGCTATTGAACCTTACTTTGGTTGTTCCAGAGCTTGATAAAACGTCTTTTTGGGCTGACCCCAGGTAACTTTGCTTTCCTCTATAAGCTCTGATGTGGGTTCTTCTCTTATGTTCTCCTAAATGATTCGACTTTCATCTTTTCCTCTATAGTGATTTTGAAGACATCTTTGATGTGAGACATTTCATTGACTCGCTGAGAGACGAAGTTCGAATTGTTAGAAGACTGCCAAAGAGGATTAGTAAGAAGTATCGACATGGAGTATTGGAGATGCCACCTGTTAGCTGGTCAAATGAAAATTACTACTTACAGCAGGTGTGATCAATTCTTCCTAGCTTTTATTTCTGGCTGCTGATGGTACTATTAGCTGAACATTGTGGCCATGTAATTTTCCCGAGTTTCCATTTTCCCTTACCGTTGCACTTTCCTTGGATTCTTGCACCACAGATTTTGCCACTTTTCAACAAGTCAAAGGTGTTGCACTTTAATCGTACAGATGCACGCTTGGCTAATAACATGATTCCACTTGAACTTCAGAAGCTCCGGTGCCGTGTTAATTTTCAGGCACTAAAATTCACTCCTCAAATTGAGAGTTTGGGGCACAAATTGGTACACATTCTTCATCAAAGGGGACCTTTTATGGCTTTGCATCTAAGATATGAGATGGACATGTTGGCCTTCTCTGGTTGTACCCATGGTTGTACACAGGAAGAAGCCAAAGAGCTCAAACGGTTAAGGTATGTAGTTTTTTGCAATCAAATACATAGCTGTTGTGATCATATTGCATCCAAACCTTTAGAAGAAAATACTAGACTGTACTGAATATCTGCTGTGAGTTTGTGGAGAGGAAAGCTTAAACAATAACCAGAGTAGTCTTGCATGAGTGACATGAAACAATCTCGAAACAACGTTCTCTTTCTTTTCCTCTTTCGGTCACCTGGTTGATGTCATAACTTGATATGTAGTCTCGAGAAAGGGACCCATGCTAATCAATTGTTAAGTTGATTTTGGTTCAGCATGTAAGATTTGGGAGCAATCACCTCTACTCAAAATATTTCCGTGCCTCGGTTGAGGTTGATATGGTCGCATTTCTCTGTTGCAAATAGATGATGGTGTTAAGGTTATTCACCAAGTTGAACTTCTGAATCAGGTATGCATATCCTTGGTGGAGAGAAAAGGAGATAAACTCTGTGGAGAGAAGATCCCAAGGTTTATGCCCTCTAACGCCAGAAGAAGCAGCATTAGTTTTACAAGCATTAGGGGTTGACAAGCAAACTCAGATATATGTAGCAGCGGGTGAAATATATGGCAGTGAGCGAAGGCTTGCAGCATTAAGAGCTGCTTTCCCTCGTATTGTGAGTTTCTTACTGCTTGACTTCTTAAATATACATTGTTTTATTCACGAAATCTTGGCCTCACAAATATCTTCAGGTGAGGAAGGAAACACTATTAGATCCATTGGAGCTGCAGCAGTTCCAGAACCATTCATCTCAAATGGCTGCCCTGGATTTTATGGTCTCAGTAGCTAGCAATACTTTTGTTCCCACATACGATGGAAACATGGCTAAAGTGGTTGAAGGTCATCGCAGGTACATAGTCATTGTCTATGCTTCATTATTCTAGTTGCTAAAGGGTACATATTCTTTCACCAGGGTTGTGTTTGTTTGAACTTCGCTCAAAATAAGTAATTTTTTTTGAAGTTTTAGTAGAAAGAAGAGATTCCAAGGAGCAAATTTGGAAATGAAACTTTATCAGGAGGTGACTTTTACTTTTGAAAAACTTGGGATTTAGGGTAAAAAGTTAGATTAGAGTGTGAAGTTTGTTGTAGCTTACAAGTTAACTATTTTTTGCTGTGTAATTAATTTTGGCTGAAATAAAATACCCCAGATATGGTTTCTGACTATAGAGCTTGGTGTAGGTATCTTGGATTCAAAAAGACTATCCTGCTTGATCGAAGAAAACTCGTAGAGCTGCTGAATTTGCATCAGAATGGTACACTCCCATGGAATGAATTCACAGTCGCTGTCAGGGAGGCACATGAGAAAAGGATGGGGCAGCCAATTCGCCGCAGGGTTATCCCAGACAAGCCAAAGGAGGAGGATTACTTCTACTCAAACCCTCAAGAGTGTCTTTGTGAGGCAAACAATTGCGATGACCTACTTGGCACGGGTAACTCCTACTCCAGTTCTGTCCCCTGATGATGATGGCATGGCAAAGTGTTGTAGCTCATGACACATCCAGGAGGGAAGCTCGCAAAGGAGGCGAGGTGTCCCCCTCTCAATGTTATGCACAGGCATTTGGTGGCTTTAATGGCTGCAATGAGACTCAGAAGTTTATACACACAAGTTCAGGCTCTTTGTAAGACACAGCAAGGAAAAGGTGATGCCCCATTTATTACCTTTTTTTTTTTTTTTTTTTTTTACCTTTGTCGATAGTTTTTTATTCTTTTTGTTTTCCCCCACATTTCCTTATTGCGAAGATCACTGAGTGTTAGATAATATCACGGTTCCATAGTTGCAAGTGTAGCATTCTCATTTTCCTGCTCAAGAACATTTGGTTGTAAGCCTCTTGTAGTCACACTGCCCACATCAAAGAAAAAAGAATTTCCTCTAGCAATACATACATCGACTTTGGCTCTCATATGTTAGGTTCTCTCATCTCTGATTAATCAGAAGTTCTGCTGACAAGTAGTGCCCTGAAGATGATACCACCTTGGTTTCCGACCAGGCTAAGATCCTTGAGCCTTATTTATTGGTAGTTTCGATCTTGTCCAGCTCTTTCTCACGTTGCTTGAAAAATTCATCAGTGTACTACAAAACCTTCTTCTCTCCGGCTCTTACTCCCACTGCAAAACCTAGTCTTGCACGCAAACCTCCCATTTCCATCAGCTTCTCACCTGTTATCAGTTTCCCCTCCCAATCAGATTACTGGTACCTGAAAAATGCTAAAGATTCTAAAGGCGTGTAAATGATCTCTCACCTCTACTATGGTGGTGTGATTCCCAGAAAGAGCAGTTCTGTAGCTATTTCGAGCCACCCGGCATATGAGCTCCAAGCGCAATGAGGCGCAAGTATGGAAGCAGTTTAGGTGGTAGAGGATAGCCTAGGATTATGTCACTCTCTACCTCTCTCCGGAGCCATTTGTCTCAGCTATATCTGAGCTTTTCTCGGATGAACTGATCTGTTTCGGAGATCTGAAGGATCACTGTTAGAAACAAAGTTTCTAACGGGATTCGTATTGGGTGATATTTGGGAATTTAGGGATTGAGAAGATAGAATTAGGGATTTGGAAGAAGAATTGGGGGAGAATATAAGAGAATCGGCCTAAGCCTTTAGAGGGATTGAGGTCAAGAATTGAGAGAGGGATTAAGGAGATAATTCTTTTATTAACTTCTGCTTAATCTGACGAATGACTCAAAGTACATATATATAGTGAAATACTAGAAAACCCTAAGAATAAACCTAATTCTACTAAAAGACTACTAACCATAATAAGAATTACCCTAATAATGATTATAATAATAATTATAGAAACTCTAGATAAATTTGTTTCTAACATCTCCTCCTCCTTCAGACCAATCTTGCCCTCAAGGTTGACCAACTTAACGGGTAATTAGCATAAATGGTCACAAACTTTTGCACTTAGTACAAAACAGTCACAAACCTTTAATTTGTAACCATTTGATAACAAAACTTTTTACTTAGAACAAAACGGTCACAAATTAAACAGTGTGACCATTTCATACCAGTTCAAACTTTTGTTACCACGTCGTTGCAAATTAGACATTTGGTGACCGTTTTGTACAAATTAAGTTCAAAAGTTTGAACGATCAATCACCGTTACAATTCGCTCTAGTTGTATGATGGTTTTGTTAATGTTTGTGAATGATATGATCGTCATAAAGGATGACAATGAAAGAATTCAATGGCTCACAAACAGGTTCCAGACTGCTTTTTAGTTGAAAAAACTCTGTCTACTTTCTTACTTTATCGAAATTCAAAGGTCAACTGAGGGCATTCTTATTCGGCAAAGCAAATATGTCGATGAACACATGACCTGACATCTTATATGTCGTTCAAGTGGTTAGTGTCATATACTTAACGAACAAACTACCCAACCTCAAAACATGACAAACATTTAATTTTTGTAACGATTCGGTAACAAACCTTTGCACTTAAAACAAAATGGTCACAAATTAAATAGCGGTGACCATTTTATACATTTTCAAAGTTTTGTTACCGTATTGTTACAAATTAAAGGTTTGTGACCGTTTTGTACTAAGTACAAAGGTTTGTTACCATTTATGCTAATTACCCCCAACTTAACCCACTCTCCCTTCCTTCTCGTGCAATCCGCACGCTGACTCCTCCATTTCTGGCGCTTCAGTTTCCTCCAATCGTGCTCTAGCTCCAATAGTGGGCTTCTTCCACCGAACTTCTGGTGCTGATCTAATTCTTCGACTTTCACTTCTATGGGCCCACCAATCACTCCCTTATCGAATTCAAACTTCAACCGCTCCTCCTTTTTTGGCACCACCATCCTTGAACTTGACGAATCCAAAGATTCAATCTGGTTCAAGAACCTATCTTTGAGTACCAACTCATCAAGGCCTTCAAACATTTTTCTTGAGATTAGCCTATAAACTTGCCTTGTTGTTCCTCCAATTGCTTTTGCGTCATACTCATTTGGAAGCCCACCAGCTAAGCCTCCCTACCTTTCGTCCTTAAGCACCACCTTCTTAAACAAGCAGCTCAGGCTCGGCCCAATTGGCCTACACTGTCGCAACTCAGCTTCTGTTATGGAGCCTGCCCAAATAAGCTTGCTAGCCGCCAATTCACTCGGCCTGTATCCTGACTTTGAGCTAGTCCGCTTTTTCATTACAAATTTCGGCCCACTATGCTCATCCTTCAGCCCAGATTTTTGGACTCTCTCAGCCCCATTCGCTTCAAGGTTCGGCCCGTTCTGCTTGCATGCCTGACTCGGTGAAAACCTGGATTGCCGAGCTTCACGGCCCACTTCCCCCTGGCGGAGTCGACCCGATCCAAATGGCGAACTGACCCAAGTCATCTGGCCCAACCGGTCGACGCTCCTCCCCGTGAGCTGCCTAGGGTTTGCGAGGGGCGATGCGTCCTCCTCCGTCCTCCAGCCCACCCCCGCCGCAAATGAAGCCACCGAGAATCGTGACTCTGGTGTGATTCGCGTCTCTGTCAGCTCGATTCTCCATTCCGACGACGAAGGGCGCACCAGACAAGGAGAAATCAACTCTGACACCTCCTCCTCCTTCTCCCCGAGCTCGCCTCCCGCCATTGTCATCCCTCTGGTCGGTGGCGTCTCCGTAAACGGCTCTGGCTTCTCAAGACGCGGTTTCGGCAACGAGTCCTCCACCAATTCCAAGTCCGTCGTTGCCGCTCCGCAGCTCAACGTCGCGACGGGTGCTGCCGCAAATCGCCTTGTTCCGCCTGCGATTCGCAGCTCTGGCGGCTCATTCTTCTTCTCCCCTCGCGATGAGCCAGAGTCACGTCTCGCCCCCGACCACGAATTCGTCACCGGCGTTTCCCTTCTTGGTGGCGCGCGATCTCGCTGATGACCCGGTGGCCAGTCCACCTCGACCTCCGCCTTTTGTTCCATCTCATCCTCCGGCTTCTTCTCCTTGGTGGATGCAACCGAAGCCACCGCCAATCGCGGCACCTCATGCGCAATTCGGGCCTCCGGGGACTGCACTCGGTGGCCCTTTACCTCGAGTGACGTCGCCGCGACGATTGGAGCAGCTAGAAACCGTCACCTCGATGGCTTGCCCTGAAGTCCCGATGAGCCACCCGGATTGCTTCTCACCACCGTGACGCGTCGTCGATCATTGTCGGCGTTGATGGCTGGCCGTGTCGAGTGGGTCTCCATCTGCGTGGTCGTTTGGATGGCGCCCGTCACAGCGAATGGCAAGGGTGGAGTGACGTTCTGCGTCGTCATCCCGTTCCCGGCAGATTCTTCTCGAACCCTCGACGACTCTTCTTTTCTCCAACCCTTTGAGAGATAGGTGACCACCCCTCCTTGATTATTCCATTTCTCAACACCAAAACCATCTTCTGACCTTTCTCTCTTCTTCCGGAACTTCCAATTGGCCCTGCTATTCTTTCCGCTTGAATCTCGAGTTAGGGATTCAGAATCGCTGGAAGTTTCCTCCTTGTTCATCAGCGTACGCGCCAGCTCGTTATCCTCTGGCGTTAGGGTCGTCACCACCTCACTTTGCCGCTCTACCGCCGCTATCGACATATTCGCGTGAAGCTGAAGAGCAACAGCAGGCTTGCGTGGTGGCGAGGCGCTTGGGTCGTCAGCGTTAGGAGTCACCAGTTCTTGTCGATCTTTTTCGAACTCGTCCCCGTCAGCAACGGCGGACAGCGGTAGCCCACCCGCCGCGGCGTCCTCACCAGCCTTCGCGGCAGTACGCAGCCCGTGCTTCTTCCAATACTCCATGATCTGCCACATTCTTCCTTGCTTTTGAACCCACGTCAGCTCCGATATATCGGTTGAACTTATCAGTTTCGATTTGGTAGGAAGCTGTCCCTGAGAGAGTTGTGATGAACTCAGGTCTTCGACCATGGCTCTGATACCAGATGTTAGAAACAAAGTTTCTAACGGGATTCGTATTGGGTGATATTTGCGAATTTAGGGATTGAGAAGATAGAATTAGGGATTTGGAAGAAGAATTGGGGGAGAATAGAAGAGAATCGGCCTAAGCCTTTAGAGGGATTGAGGTCAAGAATTGAGAGGATAGGGAGAGGGATTAAGGAGATAATTCTTTTATTAACTTCTGCTTAATCTGACGAATGACTCAAAGTACATATATATAGTGAAATACTAGAAAACCCTAAGAATAAACCTAATTCTACTAGAAGACTACTAACCATAATAAGAATTATCCTAATAATGATTATAATAATAATTATAGAAACTCTAGATAAATTTGTTTCTAACAGTCACTGTATACACATTCCGATCGAGTTTTGACTGTATGAGTCCTTAGTCTAGAGCTAGTTCTGCGTTGCTCCAGTTTAGATCGTACTGAATCAGAACCTGTTGAATTAAAACCCCCGGAAAGCTCAAGTGAACACAAAGTTTCAGGCAACCTAACAATTTATGGCGTTCTACATTTCATCAAGTGTTTAGCATTAGAAGATGTGAGCTGATTTGGCCTCGCAAACGGCTAAGAATATGGTAAATTGAAATTGTACAAGCAATGAGAAAAAGATACATGTGAATCCAAACCTACGGTTTCTATTATGCTTATTAATTGCGATAAGAAACTAATTAGATTTAAACCTTCATCAAATCATTTAATAATTCTGTTAATAGCAAGCAATTCACAAATTAGTTTGAGTAAGATACCTATAGAGCCTTTACCCAATGCCTTAATCATTATAAAATAAAATATATACGTAATATGTTTAAGTAATTGATAAATAAGAAATATCAATCATCCATGTAATACATCAATGATTTATGTTGAAAACATTCAATCTCATATCCAAAGCTTAATAATTAGCACACATACTGAAATGACTTGCAACTTCATTTCCACGTTTAAACATGGCTAATACCACTACAACATCCAAACTATCCGGAAAATGCCACTTGTGTCCTATTGTTTTCAATATTCCATTCATGTCATGAACTATTATATTTTATGTCATTTGTATCCTGCCAATTTCGTTGACCATTAAAGATAACAGTTGACCAAACGACGGTCAACTTAACATTGACTTTTGCTTACGTGGCAATGCCAAGTCATTGACACCTCACATTTTTAATTTAAATTAAATAAAACTTTGAAAATAAAAAATTGAAAAAACATTAAATTCAAAAATATTTTTAACCTAAAATTCATATTATACTTTAACCTAATATCTTCTCTTCTCCTCGCCTCCGTTCTTCCTCTTCTCTCGACTGCAAAATGTGCCTCCTCCGCCACCACTAGAACAATCGCCACCAGGATCTGAGGATAAGCGGGTGGAAGATCTGGCACCGAAGCCACTGCTGCAAACAATGTTCCGCCAGCTCGACCTTAGTTTGCAATCCCTAATTACGTGTTTGGGGATATGGACGGGATTGGTGGCAGGGAGAATTGCAACTCGCCGGGACCTGCAGCTGGAGAAAGGAGCTGTGAATCGTGACTCTGGCAAAATCCGTCACCATATCCATCTCCATTGTTGCCTCCTACTGGCGATTCTAATCTCGGAGAGACGAGCCTTCCATTGACCGGCGACGAATATGTCACTAGATCCAACGCGTTTCCGTCGCAAGTCAGCCTCCTTTCCTCCTCGCTTTCGTTGTCGCAACAACAGAAATCGACCACAACATCTGAGAGCTTTGTTCCAAACTATAAACTCTGGGAACGGCAAAGGCGTGAGCTAGAAGGCGACGCTCAGCACAAATCTGCCAACTCCGATTCCCAAACGAAGCCATCTATGGGGACTCCTCTCTCTTCATCGTCTTCATCATTGCCGATTTCCCTCTCTCTCTTGGGTCCTCTCCAGCCCCGTGTTCATCGTAGTCGATTTCCCTCTCTCCCTAGGATCCTCTTCCGCCTCTACAACGCATTTTTCTTCAGAAAGTTGCAGAGAAAGAAAGTGAATTGATTTGAGTTATTGTTTTATTTTGTAATTTTCCATAGTTTTTTTTTCTTATTTTAATTATTTTAGATGGAAAAATAAATGAAAATTGATAATGAAAATTCCGCGTCAGATGGCACGTCAACGCTAACTGGATTTTCTAATAAATACTAACGGGCAACGCCGGTCAACACTAACGGAATAATAGTTCAGGACACAGATGGAATATTGGAAACAATAGGACACAAGTGGCATTTTGCGGATAGTTCGGGTGTTGTAGTGGTATTAGCCCTTTAAACATTCAACTAAAATTGATTCACAAATCAATCATAATATTTAGAACTATTAGAATTAGAGTTATTAAAATAATATGTAAAGTATATAATATAAAATAATATGAATTCCTCTTAATCTACCGAGAGAGACCGTGAGAGGAATTTGTTAACCAATGAGATCGAAAAAGTTGTAGTATACTCAATCGATTTTTTGTTGGAGCTATGTCTCTCTTGCTTGATATAGAGCTTCCGTTAGACCATTACATACCCATTAGGAAATTAAAATTGTTCACAGGATAGTCATCCATTTCGGATAAGCATAGTATCTTTAAACGATAAATTGGTAGTTTCTTGTAGAACAACTTATTTCTATTATTTGATTGACAGTGCTTTTAATCCTATCAAAGTTAGATCTCTTTTTTCAGTCGAGTTACTTCCCTTCTCTCAGTATCCATTGCGCAACTTTATTCCTCTCTTTCAATGAAATCTAGTTAGCAAAAAATGGACCATACAATGATAAGAAATGATCAGTTTATAAGATTAATAGATGAGGACAATAGTCAAAGCAAAATAGCAATGCAACAAAATCACATTGCTGATTAGTTTAGCTTTTCTACCGGCCGGGCTTCTTACAGGGAATTATCCTCACAAAGTAGGATGAATTAGAGCTCATTATTTTGGCTAAGAGTAGAAAGAATCAAAAGTGAAATTATCTAAACACTTGGTGATGAAGAAGTTGTATGCTTAGAACAGATGTCTAGAAATCGGAGGTTCTGAAAGCTAGGCTAGTGTGTTAGTAGTTGAAGTTGAAGAGAAAAAGAGCATCACATCCACACTTTCCACTAATTATAGATTTATTGTCTTCCCTTTTATTTACACCAAGCTTAATAATTAAGTCTTGTGATGTGCATGTTGGACACGTGGGATCAGATTGGGAACAAATAGAAACAGGTGTCACCACCCATATTTCCTCTTTACTTCTCTGCCTCTCAACAGTCTCTTCCTCAATTATCAACCAACTTTAAAATTCATGCATGATTCCAACATATATAATACTAAGGGAAAGAAGAGTGATAACTGATAAACAATCTCTTCTGCAGTTATAAGCACCCTTAAAACTTGATCTTTCCTTGCTTTTGGAAGTCGCGAGGTATGGAGAGATGGCCTTAGCATTGATGAGGCTTTCTATTCTTCCTCCTTGTCCTTGTATTGGATAAAGGAAAATCAGAGGCTCTGTTCGTATTAATTAAGGGAAATCTGAGGTCTGTTCTATTAATGTTTCTCTTTCAAAGGGAAATTGTAGACTCTGGTCTAGGTGCATGCACTCTATGTTGTCATCGGATCAGCTCGGTACCCAGATTTGCTTACAAAGTCTGCAATTCTTGGTTTTGATTCCTCGAAGAAGAAGAAGAAGAAGAAGATATTGATTTCCTAAAGAAGGAAGGAAGTTCGTCGGAAAGAAGAAACCGGATTTCCCGGGGAAATCTGGCGTTGTTAGCTAGTCTCCCTTCGGTGTGCCATTCATCGGGCTCAGGGAGGTGAGAGAGAGGGAATATCGGGCGTCTTCCGTTCAGTGGTTTCGGAGATGGGAGGTGCTGAATTGGGACTGAATGAGATGAGAGGGAGCGTTTTCTTTTTTTAAGTGGCGATCAATTAGGTCTGTTGCCACCGTCTCCCGCCGGCGTCCTTTTAGTGGTTTTAGAGATGGGAGGTGATAAATTGGGGACCGAATTGGATGGGAAAGAGCTGTCGAGAGGGGAGAGAAAGAGGGAAGAAGGTTTGTGAGCTGGGACCCATCAATTTTATTTTCTTTTTCGTAAGGAGGAGTGACCGATCGATCAGGACATCAACGGGGTGCTTACTCTGCCTAAGATAAAATACACATGAGTTCATGTGAATTGGACCGCAGGGAATCACAAAGTCCTTCTCGTGAACAGTAAACACGTTTTTTCGTAAGGAACAGTGCATTTCGGTTTTGGTAATTTTGGCCACTTGTGATTTAATAATTCTAACAATTCTAATAGTTATTATTAGAATTTTATTAGATATGGTTAGTAGTATTTAAGTTATATTAGGATAGTCTATTAGGTTTTTTCCAGTCTTTCGTTATAAATATGTGCTTTGCGTTTTATTCAGGATCAATAAGAAGAATATTAAGAAAACTCTCCTAAACCCTATTTTCCTGTACCTCTCAATTCTCGATCTCAATCCCTCTAAAGGTCTAGGTCGATTCTCTATCTTTCTTTTTCAAATCCCTAATTCTATTCGTATAACCCTAATCTCCAAATTATCAAACCCAATAGAACCCTTGTTTCTATCAGCAGCCTTCACTGGGACTGGGGATTTCAAAGAAAACGAGATCTCTGGAGAGAAAAAACCGGCACCTTTAATATCATAAGCATAATCTTCAGTCGTTATATCAGGGCTGTGATTCACCTAAGGATATTCAAGAAAGCATATCACAGAAAGCAACCTAAGGATATTCATGGGAAAAGGGGTTCAGTTCTCAATAAATGTCTTATTTTTAATCCTCGTAGGAAAAAAGAACTGGCTTACCAAGTCTGCCAGAGGGATGAGAACAAGATTTTTGCCACAAAGACGTGAGATTGCTCTTGATTCTGGGACTCTCATTGCCCAAGTGAAATCTTCCAGTGTCAAGGGGAAGGAAACAGGCAAACAGTTGTGGATTAGGCTCTAAAATCTCTTATTCAACTCTCTGAAACTCCCGCCCAAGTATTGGTTTACTGCTATAGTTGTGCTCATCAGTTGAATTTCGAAAGGCATTAGGGAGAGAGAGAGATACTATCAATGCAAAATATAGTAAAGCATATAAATTTTCTTGACAATCTGAGAAACCACAAAAATGGAGACCAAACTTGAAGTTCGCCAAGCTCCGCTTCTGACAAAAAAAAACGAGTTCATCAGCCCACAAATGTCAATCAATCACATAAACCCGGGCGGGAGAGAGATCACCAGAATATAGTGGAATCAATCACTATTAGTGGTCTCCGGAAGGCAGCACATCCAAAGTAAGCCTTCAAATTGGAGCCTTCCTCCTTGGCTTCAATCCAGAGCTTCTTGGGCATTTCCAATACGGCCTCGTTTCTTCCAATGTCCCTTTGCCCTACCAGGCCCAGATCACTCGCTCTCTCGCTCAGACATTTCCAGAACCGTCGATTAGAGTACTGCGTCGAGCGGAGAAGGAGAGAAAGCCGTCATTTTTTGGGGCTTCAGAAGGTTTTCCAGTGAGAAACTATCAGGAAATGGGAAAGTTGTCTATCCGGAATAGAAGGGATTTAGTTCCATTACCGTTAAGAAGGTTTCATTTCAGATACTTCCGTTTTAGTATGGGATAATATTTAGGCTTAATACACATTCATATTCATAACTATCCACGTTTTGACAAACATAGCAAAATTTTAAAAAATATATAAATATAGCCACATTTTTAAAACTAATTTGTCAAATTTAACCATTTACGCTAAATATTTTAACACCGTTTACAGCTCCATTAGTTAAGTGAAAATAAACTCACGTGGATGCCACCTGTACAATACATCATCTCCAACTCAGCCATATCATGACACATGTCTGCCACTTGTGTTTTGTAAATAAACTCCAAAAATTTAATTTTTAAGAAATAAATTATTTTGACTAGTTTTCTATTTCTTTAATCTTTCTCTTCTCCTTTTCCGATGCAAGCCATGATAGATCAGGGAAGGGATGGGGAATAGGGATGGCAATGGGTCGGGTTGGGGCGGGTTTTGTCAAACCCAAACTCAAACCCATGGGTTTATCTGCCAAAAAAACCCGGGGTAAAACCCGTTGGGTTTGAAAAACTCAAACCCAACCCAACCTGCTGGGTATCCGCGGGTTCATGGGTACTCGTGGGTTTTTGTAGTAAAAAATTTACAATAACAAGTTTCTTTCAAAATAAAATTTTAACATCAATATTCTCATACAAATTAATCATACAAAAAAACACCAATCTAGAGCATACAAGCAAACTGCAAATGATCAATACAAATTGTTCAAAATTAAAGATAAACATATATAAACAAAAGATTAATTGAAAGCTTCTTCCTCGTCAACTAAGTTTCTTCACTCTCCACTTCATAATATCAACTTCATTCTAAACAATTAGAAAGAACAAATTATACATGTCTCCACAAACATTAAGAATATTAATTTTTTAAGAAAGATATATTATTTAGAATATTAAATATACCGAGAAAATAATTATATTTGTGTGGGCGGGTACCAATGGGTCGGGTTTACCTAAACCCAAACCCAACCCGACCCGGTGAATAGTGTAGCGGGTTTAAACCCGAACCCGGCCCAAACCCCGTCAACACGGATTTTACCCGCGTTGACCGGGTTGGGTCGGGTGGGTACCCGTGGGTTCGGGTTTTGTTGCCATCCCTAATGGGGAAGCTGGTTCCCGACGGCAGTAGCGGTGACCCATTAGAGTATGATGTCCAACGGGGTGACATCGGCGGTAGCGGTAGTAGCGACATTCGTCTTGGAGGAGAGAGTGGCATCTAAGATCTGATCCCGATTTCGAAAGCTGGAAATCCCTAGAACAACCACCCCACCAATTGGAGACCAGGTTCATCGATTCCGGAACAAAACTCACCGGGAGATGCGAGGAGGCTAGTTGCAGAGAGGGAGATGTATCAGTGGAGAGAGGGAGAGCGCTCTGAGAATCGCCGACCCGCTCCTCCTCCTTCGGATTTTCTCCGCCACGAACTCGTTATACCTCTGTCCCTGCCTTCCCCGAGCTGTCACACGGTCGCCGAAATCCCATTTTCCAGCACCACTATGTACACAATTCCCAACATCTCGATCTCCCTCGATCTGCCTCCTTACCACGGAGATGACGAAGAGGATGGTGATGAAGGTCAGAGGAAGGACGGGTGATGGCGAGTCGGATCTGTATCCAGACGGGGGAAATTTTTGAATTGGGGAAGTTTTGTTCGATTGAGTTTGTATATTGGGGATTTTCGAAGAAGAGTAGATTTTGAGGCTAGCCTTAGAGAATATGAGAAAGAGATTTTGAGGCTAGCCGCAGCTCTCTATTCACTCGCTAGAAGTCATGAATCGCTGACGGGAAGGGATGGAGCGATGGGGAAGGTCAAGCGGCGATTATAGATATTAGATATGAGTTTATTTATCCTTTATTTATTATTTTTAATTTTTTGGTTTCTTTTTCCCCGGTTAGTATTACAATAAAAATAAGTAATTTTCAATTTGGAAAAAAGTCGCCACATCATCAAATGATCTTAGTCATATCACTATGCCGTTAAACTTATGGACGGAATGACTATTTTAGTGTATTTTTTAAATTTTGGCTATGTTTGTCAAAACGTGGATAGTTATGGCTATGCAGGTGTATTAAGCCTAATATTCAGGGATTTTTTTGAAAATACCACTAAATAAATAAAAATTCCAAAAATACCACCCATTTGTGAAAAATTCTTAAAATACAACCATTTTTTGAAAACCGCTTGGGAAGGTCGTAGTTTTTGCTGAAAATCGCATCTAGGCGGGGCGGTCTGACAAACCGCACCGGGAAGCAGCGGTTTATGTGCAAACCGTCCCCCTAAGCTGGGGTTTGTAAGTATATATTTTTTTCTCTTTGATCGACGCCTCACCTAAGTCGAATTTTGGACGGTCATAACTTTGTGCTTCGCACTCCGAAAGTCATGAATTGTTTTTTTTCTTTTTGCATAACTTTATAAGGACCACAGCTTTTAGTAGGAAGGAATTTTCAAAACAGGAATCATTTTTGGATATAAGGGATTTTGGCAATAACATTAGCTTTACTTTTCAAAAATCCATGTGTTGATGTCGAGGTTGTCGCTGACGTCGGATTCCTTGCTACAGGCACCAATAGAGGCTTCAAATCACCTTACACCGCAATCCTTGTTTGTGACGCTGACTCCCACCACCTCCTGTAAAAGGTCCGCCGACCGATCTCAGCATGGACACCCTCTGGTGCTCAAGTCAATATCGAGTGATAAATTGAGGGGAAGAATGAAGTTAAAGACATAAAGAAGGAGAGGAGGGCCTGGGCGAGCAATAGCTCCGGTCACTAATAGTAGCAGACTCTTTAAGGGAGCTCGTCCATACCTTTTTTGCGTACCCTTGCCAGAAAACGAGAGGCACCTTTTATAGGGGACGTCCGGGGGACAGCGGAGGACACGCGGCGGCGACGGTTGTATTGGATCAACACGTCTGAGGCGGAGGTGTCATCACCTCATGCGTTAGCTCGCCACGTGTCATGCTTTTCCGTGCCACGTCTAGGCACTCAAGCCATGTGGCAAGTAATGGCCTAATAAGGGTGTCACATAAATGAGAAGATCGCCGTGAGTGGCGAAGATGGTGAGTGTCGTAGGCAACGAGACCGGTGAGCGCCATTGGCGATGAGCGCCGAGATAGTGAGACCGGTGGGAGCCGTGGGCGTCGAGACCGGTGAGCGCCGCGAGCGGCAAGCGCAGTCGACGATGAGTGCCGAGGGTGATGAGCACCGTTGGCGACGATATTGGTGAGCATCATTGGCGATAAGCGCCGAGGGGGTGAGAGTGGTGAGCGTAATGGGCGACGAGACCGGTGAGAGCCGTCGGCGATAAGCGTCGTGGGCGGCGGGATGGGTGATCGCCGTCGGCAAGACCGATGAGCGTCATGGACGACAAGCACCGTGATCGATGGGCGCCGTCGACGACGAGACTGGTGAGCATCGTCGGCGATGAGCGCCAAGTGGGTGAGACCAGTGAGTACCATGGGTGATGAGACCGGTGAGAGCCGTCGACAATGAGCGCCGTGGGTGGCGAGAATGGTTTTCACCGTCGTCGAGAATGGTGATCGCCGTCGGCGAGACTAGTGAGCCCCGTATGCGGCGAGCTCCATCATCGATGAGCGCTGAGGGAGGTGATCGCCGTCGATGACGAGACTGGTGAGCGTCATCGGCGATGAGCGCCGAGGGGGTGAGACCGGTGAGCACCGTGGGCGACGAGACCAGTGAGAGCCGACGACGATGAGCGTAGTGGGTGGCGAGACCATAGCGCCGTGGGCGACGAGTGCTTAAGGCGGTGAGCACCGTCGGGGAGGAGACCAGTGAGTGTCGTCGGCGATGAGCATCGTGGGCGGTGAAATCATAACGTGGTACAAATGTTTTTACATTGTGTCCACCTCCACGTACATTCCGAAATTATGGCTATGATAAAAGATGTAGTCCTTTAATATTTATGCGAAATAAAAAAAAATTCAAGGCGTTCGGAGTGCAGAGCAAAAAGTTATGGTTGATCAAAGTTTGGCGAAATTGGATAAAAGCTCATACGGGGTAGCGAATGACGTTTTTTTCGGGACGAAGGCGGGACCAAACTGCATACGACATTTATGGCTTGCAAGATCTCGAAAAGTTGTGCGGAATAAAAAAAAATTTCCGATCGGATTCCCGAGTAGAAAGTTACGTTCGTTTGATTTTCTACTTAGGTTAGGCGTCGATCGGGAAAAAAATATATGTACCAAAACCGCAGGGGGCCGGAAGCGGTTTGCATCAAAACCGCCTCGACCCCATGCGATCAAGTAAAACGCCCCTGCCCAATGCGGTTTTCGGAAAATGATGGTATTTTTGGAACTTTAGACATGGGTGGTGTTTTTGGATTTTTTAATTAGTGGTATTTCTGGAAAAAATCCAATATTTAGCTCCAACCCCGGTTGGAGGAGTTGCCTACAACCCACTCATGCGGCTGATAGGGATTGGACAAAAAATACCTTTCCATTTGTAACTTGTAGACGGAAATCAAACGACCATTTTTTTTAATGCAACCTATTCCTTTTAATGAGAAAACGTAAACAAATACTTTACAAGAACAAAGTAATTCACGAGGTTTTTTTTTTTGTTTAGGTTATTTGACTCGTCCCGAATATCACAAAAAATTCCCACCTAATGCCCAAGTATAAACATTAGATGGGTGCAATACATGGCAAGTATGTTTAAATATCAACCCGGGCCGGTCCATGTACCCCTACTTCTATTGTTTGAAACATTATCTAGCGGATTGGTTTTTGGTTGAAAATTATGAGGTTTAAATCACAACAAAGCAAAGGTAAATGGTTTGAAAGCTCTAGATGAGAAGGATCACTCGAGTGTCGCTTCCCCCTAACTGCTATATAGCTCGTGGACTCGAATGAGACGTTATGGGCAAGGCAATCGTGAACCGCTAGGAGGTGCAACTATGGTGGAAGACCACACTCTCAATTGCCAAACCAAGGGATACATTATAGGCTACTAGAGTAGCCCTCTTGGTTAAGGCAATTGAGGGTTGACTTACCTTCTCCCTCAAACCGATGGTTGGACGGCTTAATCTCGATTAACCTAGTCGATTAATTCAAGATAGAGGTTTGACCTACATTAACCTAGGTAGGTGGCTTGAAAAGCTAAAGGAATCCCAACTCAATTGAGCCTCTTTTGGAAAGGGGGCTTTCCCCTCTAAGCTAGGTTAGAATGACCAATTAGATTGCTAAGCACAAACATGCACAATCATCATGAAAAATACCTCAATCATTAAATTAAACAACACCCAAAAACAATCATTCAATTCACACTACAACTACACGGCAAATAGTTAGGGTTTCACAACACCCAAGTGAAAAAGGTAACTACTCCATGTTAGAAAGGGGAAGAACACTCACGGTGATGCCTCCGCGCTCCTTTGATCTTGTGTTGATCCTCTCTTGAGGAGATTCTTCCCAATTCACCACTTGGAGCAAACCCTAGCCTCCTTCCTCCTTTGGTTTGTCCTTTCTCTCTCTAAAATATGAAGAATAAGGTGATTTCTCACTCTTGGGCTCACCCTCTCTCTTCCTTTCAGCTCACGTTTTATACTGGGATCGAGCTTAGTTCATGGCCTGAACTCGGAGTGTTGTGTCAAAACGCACCGCTTCACTCACTTGAGTTCACGGTCTTAGTGACCGTGAACTCACTTAGTGTTAGTAACTTCAGAATTCGCCCTGGATGCTTCATGGCTCATGGTTATGGCTTTATTTCACGGCCATAGGAGACCCTAAACTCCAATGGGAAACCATGAACAAGGCCTGAATCACCCTCTTTGCCCGATCTTTGCTCCTTTTCTTCCAACTTCAACTCCGAGACTAATTTCACCTGTTAGATCCTGAAACACACTGAAACATACAAAACCTAGCGTAAAACCACCCTTTTAGGAGTTCAAATGCCACAAACGCCCAAGGGAAACAGGGATAAAATGTGTGCAATTAGTCCCGAACCACTCCCCCACACTTTCAAGCAATCAAAATGCTTTGGGGACAAATCAAAGGGCACAAAGTGGGGAATCTCAAATCGCTATTGGCAATTAACACAAGGACCGTTGCAAGCAATACCGACATCCGCCACAAATGACATTCGATGCTACTAGAAATGGACGAATGAAAAGTTCTCACCTTGTTCATGAATCAATGCAAGTTTCAACAAGATCACTTACCAACCACAACTAACCATGCATAGAGTTCAGGTCCAAGGAACCAATGGATGGACAACAAAGGTCCTCACCGGGGTAATGATATGACATTCAAAACAAGAATGAATCACTCACTGACCTTTTGGTGCAAAGAATGTGCAAAATCATCAACACTCGGCCCTATAGTCTCAACACCACGGCGGCAACCTCTAAATGCTAGAGTTCACGGAATGGTTGTCATCACTAGCTTGTCCGGAGGTCTTAGACACGGGTTTAAATGACTGGCGATTGTCTTGGACATGGGGAAAAGGCTTTTTGGGTGGTGGCAAGCACATCATGAGGTCCTACATCTTCACCGTAAAATCGAAGGTTCTATGGTTTCGACTAAGAACCTTCCATAGAAACAACGGCCACTAGCATCGGCCAAAAACCTTGCCTCTCCCTTCCAAACTATCACCCATCATGAACTTCCCTTAAGCGCTCTTCCTCGGTCTACTCTTGCTATAACATTTCAATTTGGTAGTGAAGGAGTTCTAAGTCAATGTGGTGGTCTCAATGGCTTGTATGCCAAGAAACCTCCCCTAGAGCATACTCTTTGATCCCTTATGGCACTCTCTACTTTATTTACCCCATTTATTACCTCTTTTTCTTTTCTCTTTCTTTTTCTTTTCTTTTTGAGGGGGGTACTAGAGATTTAAACATTTTCCACACTACTTTTAACGATCAATGCTCTCTTTTTAAGAACTCACTCCAACACTACTCTTCCTTTCACTTTCGTTGCTATGTAGAACCTCAATGGAACTCAAAAGCGAGAGCTCCGGGACACAAGGACGATACACGTATATACACGAAGAAAGGATGTAAGTCGTTCTATCAACACAATTTAGCTCACAAGCAAAAAGCTCCTAACATGAGAACAACCCCCAAAGTCACAAGGCTCAAAAGGGTTGACTAGTGGATAAATCATTTTGGGACAATCAACATTTGGGCATGGACTAATCATATGCCTCCATCATACTCACTAGTGACGACTGTGATGTTACTCGCCATGGTAAGAGGGATCTAAGCACAAAAGAAGAAAACGATCAGCTCAAATCTCACATGGCTACCTAGTCACCCAACCATCCATTCCAATTCACAAAGCAACATGCATGACAATTGTAATCAACAAGCAATCGAGTCAAAACATCCATTCATTTTTGCACACATAAGAATTAAACCTTTGCACTATCCTAATGCACCTCACATCCATCATCATAGGACATACTCGATCACATGCAACAATTCAAGATCAATGCCAATAACCATAAGATTCTCCTACAAACCGGCCACTTTGATCATGCAAACATTACTTGGAGCCCTTAAAATTTCAAATTTTGGCATATATTAAGGCTCCAAGCATCAATCACACTCACACAAGCATAATAATAGATTAACCCCCCCCCCCACACACACACACTTAAGCTCGACATTGCCCTCAATGGCGTAAGATAGGGTGGGTAGAACAACGTTACCGCTTTGCTTGGTGAGTGAAAGTTGGAATTGTTTCCAGGGTAAGAGATATGGAGCTTCAAGGAGAGGACAAAACACACATACACAAACACAATACGACTCGCTCAAGGCGAGGTTATTACACAACACAATACGATAGTAGTAGTAGTTTATAGTCACAAACACATAAACGAAAGCAAAATAAAACAAAAGAGTTCAGAGTTCCAAGTGGTGTAATGGGGCGAAAGGAATCGGCTCTGCCAAATATCTCCCTCGTCGGCTACCTCTCACTAGGTCAAAGGCCCCGGCTCATTATCGGGAATGAGAACCTGCCGTCGAGCCATCTGCTCAAGGAGGTCGATCTACCGATCGAGGCGGGAAGTCACTCCGCCAAACTGAGTCTCAAGGCGATCCATCCTCTATGCGAGTGCATCACCGGCTAGTCTGGATGATGAAGCAGGTGGTGGTGGTGGTATAGGGCGCTGGAGCGCGGGACGCCGACGACGACAGGGTGCTCGAGCAGGTGGCTACTCTAGCGGTGGAACCCTTGCATCTGGCTCCACTGGTGGCGGGTCAACTGCTGGGTGCATGGCTCCCGATAGTCGGAGCCTGTCGAGGTACTCGATGCCCCTCTCGTGAAGTACCAACTGATGGTTATAAAGCGTAAGCACTGGGAAGGGCTTGGTCCTCCTGATGATGGAGCATCGCTCCACATCCACTCCGAAGTGGCGGGCAATCCTCGTGATGATGCCCCCCATGTGCATGGTGTCCACCCTGTTTCGCCCATGGTAAAGGAAACCGTATGGGGCATCAAACTGGATTCCTTTCTGGTAGGGTATTTTGTGGTACGACCGTGGTTCAACCGTTTCATACCGGCAAATACCGTTTTTGTAATAATAAAATAAATTTTCTCATCTTCCATTCTTCCTCCTCTTTCTCTCTCTCTCTCTCTCTCTCTCTCTCTCTCTCTCTCCCTCTCTCTCTCTCTCTCTCACACACACACACACCCCCAAACAAAAATCAACCAGAATCAATTTACCATTTCCTATTTTCCCATCTACTCAGACCGAAGCATGAATGGCAGACTGACGGGCGACAACGGGCCGAAGAGCCATCTTGAACGGCCGGACGAAGAAGGCAGATTTAGAGATGAAAACGCCGCTCAATCGCAAAGTGAGGGAGCTGAGGTCTGAAACGGTGACAAAATTGGAGAAGGAAGAAGAGGGCAGCGGTGGCCTAGGGAAGCAGTCGTGGTAGCTAGCTGGAGAGGCAGTGCTGAACTGGATGTCCGGAACCAACGTCGCAACCCGCATGCAACCGGCGGCAGGGATAGGGTCGGCGCGGCGCAGAGGGAGGGTCGGGGCGGCGGAGAGAGAGGCTTGGGCGGCGGCAGGCTTGACGTTCGCCCAGTCACCGGACTGCTGGAGAAGACGAAGGGTAGGTGGCCGGCGCGTTCTCCTATTCACGAAGCTGTCGACCACGAGCAGGCGGTCGCCGAGACGCCGACTCGCTGCCCGCGGGCCTCTCCGTCACGAGCAGGCAGACTGGCAGGGCAGGCTCCAGGCAGCGGCGATCTGATTATGGTCTGGAGAAAGGAGGCGGCAAAGAGGCTTGGAGCTTGGAGGTCGAAGGTCGAAGAGAAAGAATCAATTAGGGTTAGCAGTTAGTAGACTCATTTCTTCGATTATTTTTTTTTTTCAATTTTGTCGCCGGAAACGGCGACGTTTACCACACTTTTTATTACCGTCGGTCTGATTTAAACCGGACGGTATACCTGTTCATGCCGGTTAAGCCGATTAAACCGGCCGGCGCAATAGAAAGGAGGCTGGTAGGGTATGGTTTTGCTGCTGGTCGGATTCCCGATTTTACAGGTTGAACCGGCCGGTACGATCCGGTTTCCTTTACCATGCTTTCGCCCTAGACACCAGGCGAAAGAGGTGGCTACCAGTGATCCTAGATGGATCGGCTCCGCAGGATGCCTCATGGAGAAGAGAGCCAGAAACCCTCTGTTCGTCATCAGATGTCCCGACTGCATGCTGGGGACGACCGATTGGGTGAGCAAAGTGTGGAGAATCCTCTAGGGAGTCCTTAGCTTCACTGCATTGGTGCAGCTCGCCTCGTACTCCTCGTGCTCCGGGCGGCAGAGGGCCCGTAATGCGGCCTGTTAATGAAAATCGACGGTGTACTGCTGCTCCGTCATGGTCATGTGAGTCGGGTCGAGCCCCATGGCTCGAGAGAAAGCATCATAGGTCAGCACTCGAGGCTTCCCAACATGAACTCCACGTACGATCGGCTCCTATTGCCGGTCGGGACCACATGGGCGAACGTGGAGTAGAACTCCACGCACATCTTATGGTAGATGTGCTCGTCCAAGGTGAGAAACAGGCGCCACTGGGGGTGACAGACGACCTCCGACTTTGCAGCTCGGCACCTGAACATGTTATACATGTCCAGGTATAGTCACCAGTGTGGCCCGACCGGGCTATCAGTCTGATAGGCAAACTTATTGCCAAACCTCACATAGTTCACCAGGTAACTGAGGAACTCGTGCTCCACATTAAGCATCCTGCAAAATTTGGCAAACAAACACCATACATGGAAACATTCCCCCCCACACTTATCTCCACTATGGATTTCAAACATTTAAGCTCAACTCACCGTGGCATGGTTGTGGGTAATTCATAGTTCATCTACACAAAAGATTTGAACCCCAACTCATGCCACGGTGGCTACCAACCATCATTCAAGCATAATAATGCATATTCATTCAAAAATTAGCACTTGGTGGGCAAATCTACAAATGCAAGCAATTCGAATCAACAAATGCCCATCAAGGCTCACTAGGCTCATGCAAAGTCAATCATCCATTCAATCACCCTAATTCACCTATATCATCGCCCTAATTCTAAATTCAACATTCAAGGCAATAAAACTCTCCTCACTTCACTACCTAATTTGATTCTCCCAAAATAAATAGGGTAGAGCTGGAAAACCAACCTGGAGACATACGTAGGACGTAGGAGGAAGTGAGGTGAGGGCGAGGAAGGAGAAAAACAGCCTTAAAATAGTCTGGAGAAGGGTCGCCGGAGCTTCGTCCGAAGCTCGCCGAACCCTCGTCGGAGGCTCACCGGCGGTGACTTCGCTGGAACTTTTTTTGCCCCAAATCTCCCCAAAATCCATGCGAAAGGTCACCCTTGATGAGGGAAGAATGGGTATGAGGTTTGTTTTGAGGTTTTCTCACCGGAAGGGGGTGAAATGGCCTGAAAACTGTTGGAGAACCACAATTTTCCGGCGAGATTTGAATTTTCAGGCAAGTTTTTGGGTCGTGAAGTGAAGGGTCAACATTCACGCCCTTTTATAGACGATGCTAGCAATTCACGGACGCGTTTGCCCGTTCACGGTCGTTAAGACCATGAACACAAACAATGCGGTCCTGAATTGTGGCTGGTCGACAACTGGCAAGCTTGTGGAAGTGCCCTATTCACGGACGCGTTTTCCTGTGAACTGGGCAATCTGTCCGTGAACCTCGGTTAAAACAGGGCGCTTCTGAAAAAAATTTGACCTGACCTAATCCATCATGCCTTCAATCGATCACGAGACAACCTCAAAACGCAAAACCAAAAAACGTAGCACGGGGATACCACTCAATCACTAGAACTCTTCACTCGACACACAAAAATGAAAATAAGGAAAAGAAAACAAACCTACGTTGGGTTGCCTCCCAACAAACGCTAAGTTGACGTCAGTAGCTTGACATTGCGGATCTATCATGCTTTGGAACATGATGCCACCGAGAGTGGATCCGCCAGGTTCTCTGGGTGAGGCATGTAGCCTCCCAATTTAAGCTCCATGGGGTGGCCTTCTTGTCCGACGACCTTAGCTTTGCCCTTCTCCTTCCTTCGGGAGAAAACTTGCTTCATCTTTTCCCTCCAAGCTCTCCTCTTACTTTCTTTGGGCATAGTACCCTTCTTAACTTCCTGCTTAACATCATCACTAGCAACACAAGTAATAGTGGGGTTCGCCTGGAGAGGCTCTCCTCCAGTCACATTCAAGTCATCCGACACCAACTCCTTCACATCCTCACTTCTAGCCTTAGGTTCAATTTCAAGAGTGATCCTCTCCTCACCATCCCTCAGAATCAAGGTCCCCTCATTAATATCAATTAATGCCTAGGCGGTAGCAAGGAAGGGACGTCCTAGTATGAGTGGCATATCCGAGTCCTCACTTATATCAAGGATCACAAAATCCGTCGGATAGCAATAGCTGCCCACTCGTACTAACATGTCATCCACGATGCCCCTAGGATCAATGACCGAGCAGTCGGCTAATGTGACACTAAGCCTAGTGGTCTTGAGTTCACATAGGTTTAGCCTTTTGAAAAGCTTATAATGCATCACATTGACACTTGATCCTAAATCCGCCAAGGCATTTTCTATGTGATGGTTACCAATACTAAGAGGGATAGTGAAGCTACCTAGATCGGGTCGCTTCTTGGGAAACCGGTTGAGGATGAAGGCCGAGCACTCCTCTCCTAGAGTCACGTTAGCGAGGTCTTCGATTTTCAGTTTCTTGGTGAGGAATCCTTTGAGGTACTTTGCATACCTTGGCATGTGGCCCATAGATTCAAGCAAGGGGATGTTGAGGTGGATATTTCGGATCATCTCCATGAAGCCTCCACATTCCTCTTCCAACCTCTCCTTGTACACCCTCGTGGGGAAAGGAAGAGGTGGCTTGTACTCAGCCACCGGAGATGACGTCGACGATGCCTTCTTTGCCACTTCTTTCTCTCCCTTTGAGGGCTCTCCATCTCCATCCTTGGGGTTGGAGTCTTCCTTTTCAATCACTTTCTTAGCAACAACTCTTGGAGTCACCTTCCCGCTCCTCAAGTAAATCGCATTGCACCCGGCTTGATCTTTTGGGTTGGCAATGGTTTGAGAGGGTAGGGCTCCCTTTGGTCTCTTGATGAGGATCTCGGCAAGATTGCCGATTTGCACCTCCAAATTTTGAAGGCTTGCTTGATGTCTTCGGAGTGCCGCCTCAACCGAGGTAAACTTGGTAGTTGCCACATCCATAAATTGCTCAATCTTCTCGAATTTCAGAGAACTTGAACTCCCAAAGGTATTCACGAGGTCTTCAAGTTTGGACAGCTTGTCGGGTTGTTGTTGTTGTTGGATTCCTTAACCACCTTGTACTTGGTAAGCTTGTTGGAAGTTCGAGCTTTGGAATTGAGGCCTTTGTTGGATGAAATTTGGCCAAGGTTGATAATTTCCCGTAGGGCCTTGGAAACCGGGGAGTCTCGGATTAGTCGGGGACGACCAAGCAAAGTTAGGATGATTTCTCCACTCGGGGTTGTAGGTATTGCTATACGGGTTGTTCCCCCTAGCATTTGCAACGAAATTGAGATATTCCTCTGGGTTACTCGACTCCTTCATTGCTTGGCAATCCGCAATTTCGTGATTGGTGCTCAAACACCAATCGCACGAAATCACCACTCTCTTCCCTTTCTTCTTATCCTCAAGAATTACCTCGATCAACTTGTCAAGCTTCGCTTCAAGTGGAGCACTTGCTCCAACACTTCTTACTCCTCTTTCATTGCTTCTCTTGCCACTTCTCGTCAAGCCCCAATCGTATCCTTTAAGAGCCATATCTTCGAGCAACTGGGTCACTTGAGGTAGGGTCATGTTCATCAACCGCCCTTATCACAGACAATTAGTGAGGATCTTGTCTTCATGTATAAGTCCATCGTAGAAAGATTCGAAATTGCTCCTCAAACCCATGGTGAGGGCATTGAAGAAAATAGTCGGAGAATCTCTCCCAAGCATCTCTCAAGGTCTCATCTTCATCTTGCTCGAAATGGGTGATCTTCTTTCTCCACTCGGCCGTCTTCGAAGGCAGGCAATAGCGGGTCATGAATTTGTTGAGAAGATTATCCCACAAGGTAATTGAATGAGGTAGTCGGTTATTGAGCCATCTAAGTGCCTTCCCCGAAAGTGAGTAGGGGAAAAGCCTTAATTGCAAAGCTTATGCCGGCATGCCATTTATATTCAAACTCCCCGCGAGCTCAAGAAATCTTTGCACATGCTCCCTCGTTGATTAGCTTGTGTGCCCGTGGATCAAAGCATTGTTTTGAATCATTTTCATGAGGGCCGGCTTTATTTCAAAGTTGTTGGCCGCCACGTGTGGGAGTAAGATAGGCGATTGAATGTCCGCCGGCCGTGGGGCCATGTAATACCCCATTGTCCTTGAGCTTCCTCCTCTGCCGCCTCATCATTGTGGGTGTGAACTTGGGCGACTCCCTCTCTTTGTTTGTTCT